CAGGTCTCCATCAAAGGCAGACGAGGGAGCAGATGTTCCCTGTAAAGCCAACGTTTCACCAGCTAATGATGTGAACTGGAAGGAGGATCCTTCCTGAAACAGAGCCAAGACCCTCACTAGGACAGAGCTTCTGATGGAGAACGTCCTCTTTGCAAAGCTGTTCTGGTGGCAGATGTTAAAAATTGGCCAATTTGAGCAAAAAAGCTCCCGGACCTTGCACAGGCACAAACAACCGTGGTCCAGGTAGGAAATGCCCTTCTGCTGGGCTGGCAGCATTTCACAGCCAAGCCGACCCCGCGCCCCCCAGCTCCAAAGGTCAGGCACGACACCTGCCTCCGAGCGCTGCCAATTTTGCCATCGCTCCGCTCCTCTGGGAAGTGGCGACTCCCTGGATCTCAGAGCACAACACCCGTCCCTGGCCGCCTTCGCCTCCGCGCAGCGTCGGGCACAGACGACAAACTCAGCGGCTCCGTGGGAAGGATCAAGGCTGCTTTATTGCAAAGTGGACGAGTGACAAGAGCTGAAGTGGGAGCCGGTGGCAACACGCAACTGGAAAAGCACATTCCTCTCCGTCATGCCAGAGACGGAGCAACTTCCTAACGGGGGAAAATTGGATGTTTTCAGGGACAGGGGCTCGAGGGCCCCAAAGCTGCCTGAATCGCCACCGGTGAAGGGTGAGGAGCAGGACTGAAGCGCTGCAGGTCTGAGCAACCCATCCCAGCCGGCTCAGGCTGCCGGGCTCGGAAAGCACAGGCTCTCGCTGCGGCACCCGGATGGCACTGATCACCCATTCCCCTCACGGGTGCTGGCGTTGGCAGCTCCGCCTGCTCTCCCTGCCCTGGCACAGGCTGCCTCAATGGAGATGCTTGTCCTCTACACACACCCCACCAGCCGTCCCCAAGCCCACTCGGGCCTGCAGGGACACAGATTCAGTATTGTCTCACGCTTGGGGACAGAGCAGAGAAAAGAAACGCCCTGGAGTTTGCCTGGAAGAGGCCAGGCAGCTCCCTGCAAGTGACTGAATGTGCCAGGATCGGCTGGTAAATTTTGGCTGGGTTTTCCTGGGCATGCGGCACAGCAGGAGGCAGCCCAGCCTGGCCCCCCCCGCTAAGAGGGGTCAGCACGCGACCCGGGCTAATGAAAAGCAACTCTGATCATCCACGAGATTTGTGAGCAGGGGAAGCACCACCTTCCCCAAAGATTTGTAGTTACTCGGGAGCCTGTCCTCCTGCCTCCCTCTCCACGCACGTCTTGAAGTAGGCCAGAATGGAGCAAATCTTCCAAAAAAAGGGGGAGGCCATCAACAAGGAGGCACCTTCACATCGCCGCAAGGCCAGCAGAGGAGAGCAGGGTCAAGATCAGGACCAGCACCCCAGACTGGTTGACTTGCGGGATCTTCAACCCCTTGCCCAAGTCCCATGCCTGCGGGAGAGAAGAGACACAGCAGGGTTAATTCAGCAGGGCTGGGACACTCTCCGACGGTGGAAGTGCCAGACACGGGCAGACAGGCACCTCTTTCTGCGGAGAGCCTTTGGACCGCCGGGCACAGATCAGAGGGAGGGGTGCAAGTGTCCGTCGCTGCAGGGCAATGGGCAGGGGTCTCCCTGGGTGCAGGTACACGTGCTCCATGCCAGAGGAAGCTTATCCCCCACCAAGCCCCGCCATCTACCGGCAAAGCCACCCGCGAGCTCTCCCTAATCCCCACCCGCCGCAGCGCGCCGGGTTCACTTCACAAGC